AGATATGATCTTAGATTCTTTTTTTACTATCTCTTTCTGAGTTGAGAATGCATCCTTTTGAGCTGATTCTAACTTACCTTCTAGTATTTTTTTCATAGACCGAAGTGCTATAATTTCCTTTGATTCATTCTGAGTTGAAGATAGTTTCGTTTCCAATATTTTTATCTTAGACCGGAGATCTTTTATCTTGATTTTAGATTCATTAAGAGAAATATCTTTGCGAGTAATCTGGGATGTTAGAGTATCTACTCTGAACGCAATCATTTTACTTTATATATAAGCTGATAGGTATGCTTAGTGAGTTTTTCTTTATCTTTATTGGATCGATTAAGATCCTGTTGCATATGCACCTTATCCTGTTTGATATTTTTAATATACTTTTTATATACCTTCTGATAGTTTTTAAAATCATCAATAAGTTCAGAATTGGATTTACAACTATCACGTAAAGCTTCTTCAAGTTCCACCTCCCTAGTACTTTCAAGACGATGTCCTTTTGAGTTAATATCTCGCAATGTACATATATTAGCCATGTATTTTTCAGCTTAGCTATATTTAATAAAAATAACATATTACAGATATTATCAATAATAACATATTATAGATATTACGGATATTATCAATAATAATAGATATTACAGATATTATCAATATTATCAATATTTCTGGTATTATCAATAATAGCATTATGGATATTATCAATATTACCGATATTATCAATAATATCAATAATATTATTATCAGTATTTTTTTTTATCAATATTACTGATACTATTAACAAGACCATGTGATCTGATGCAGTCAAACTATCACCAGATGACTATAAATATATTATGCAATACAAATATGCAAAATCCAAACCTTTAGAGATGCTTAGAGATAAATATCCTATATCTAATACCCATTTTTATCAGATATGGAAAGGAAAAGAGATTTGCACAAATGTTTTGAATCCATATTTAGCTGATTTGGAAAGTGATATTTCAATACCTATAGTTGTGAAAGAGACAAAAAAGAGAAAATCCAAGTTCGAGTCTGCGCGTATTTCTGATCAATACTCTGTTAGTAAAGATTCGACTGAAAAGATAGACAAAATATTAGAAGCAAAAAAAGAAACTATACCACCTGAAGCCTCACAAAAAACTAAAGATCCTTTAGAATTCTATAAGAGAACACAAGAGGAGGCTAAAAAGATAAGAGCTGTTATACGTGCTGATATTTCTAAACTATCTGCTCCTATTTCAAAAGCTTAGAATTAATATGACTAATTTTTGTTTTATATTGATCACGCAAATTATTATAATATCCAATAAATTCTGAATTAGTTAGGATATTAGTAAATAGTGCTTTTTCAAGCTCCTTTACACGGATAGTCATACTTTCACAATTTATGCATTTTTTTTTACCTCTTCACTTGATGAATCGGAATCCAATACTTCTAAGGTCTCTTTATCTTTTGGCGGATCCTTGGCTACTAGAGCCCTGCTAAATGTTGGTATAATATAAGACTTACCATGAACCTTTATGTGAAATTGGTTTTTATTTGGGTCAAGAATACCATGAACCTTTCGAATCTATGTCATACCTATACATAGCATTGGTTCTGATTCACCATTATCAATACGTGCAAAATTTCCTGAAACTGTGACTGTTTTTCCTGCCTTATCTTTTATAGAGATTGGAACATCCGTAATCCATCCCAATGATTTAGTAATATGTTTCGAATTGTCACTCTTTATAGCAAAATCAGATTGTTTATCATTTTCCCACTCAAGTGCTTCGATAGTTGCATTATTAATAGCGCCGAATTCGCTACCCAGATCTAAAAAACTATTAGAGATCGTTAAATCATTTATATTGCTATGCAAATATTGTATTGATGAGAACCACTCATTGGTTTCTTCCTGAACCTTATGAGACTGGTTGGATTTACATATTCTTTGCATTGCTGGTGATAACGAATTCATTAGTTGATCATAAGTTTTTGGTATCATATCTTTCATAGACAGTGCGTTTTGTGCATTAATATGTGACTTATTATCTACTGGTAATACCTGTTTTTTTTTTCTGACTGAGATGGAGCATGCCATCTATTATCTTCCTCGTTATATCCACCTTCACCATCCTCATTATCATCTGAATCGGGAGATGCATATTGGGATTGGGAAGGTATTAGAGGAGAAAAGTATCGATGTGTTAAATTTGATTTAGCTACAGGTTTTTTGGATTGGTTATCAAGCATCATCCTCCCGAATTGAGATGTCATTTGACCGATTTCATCTACTTTTGATTCTATTCTATCTATTCTCGCAGATTGGTTTTGTTGCTGAGGTTTTTTAAACAATGCTTTTGCTTGCTCAAGGTATTTATGATAATTTGGATCTTGGGTAAGTTGATTCATATAATTACCTTCTTGATCTACTATGTAAAATGCTTGCTGAGCTTTTTCCGATTTTATAGGATAAAGCTTGGATGGAGGTTGAAATGTTCCTACTGTTGCGACTTGTGGTTGTTGTGCTTGAAGTTCGGCCTTTAATTTTTCTATCTTAGCTTTAGATTCAGCTCACTATTTTGCTAATTCATCTTGAATTATTTTTTGTATATCAGCTATAGGAAACACTGGTTGTTGTGATATAGCATCTGGAGTAGCAGAAGCAATAGGTGCATAGCGAGGTTGTGATGGTGCTTGTTGTAATATTCCATAACGTAATTCAAGTTCTGCCAAACTATCAATGATATCGTTAATAGGTTTGGTTTGACCGATTCTATAAATTTCATCTCTGATATCGGATCTAACTCCTGATAAGAAATGAGTTTTTTTCTGTGCTGGTGTATAACCGAGTTGATCACCATATTTTTGAATTTTCGCCCAGAATGAAGGCACAGTTTCATATGAGCCTTGTCTTAATGCACCAATTTCTAACATCTTTACATATTTATTAGCAGTTGGATAATGTTTTTTCATTCACCAAAGTCTTTGTCCAGATCGCATTCCTGCTAGAATAATAGGAACTCCTCTCCTAGCATTTGGTGCAACTGGTATAGCATTAGTTGGACGACCTCCTGCTATTGTCCAATCTTCAGCAACATTTCGAGCAGGGATAATTTGTGCACCTGTAAGTCCTAGTGGAACATTTAGGAAAGAAGCGACCGCACCTGTTATAGCTATAGCATTGGCACCCCGAATATGTGCAATAGTGGCTCCTATACCTGAGTTATCAAGTATATTTTGCAATTCCCAATTTTTATTATCAAATTCTCTATAGTATCATTCTCTCGCTTCTCCTTTTAGAGATCGATCTAATATAGTAAGAATATTTGCATCATTATTTACTCCCGCTAAAGTGATATATGATATGAATCTATCCACAAAATCTTCGTGATCTTCATCACCACTATGAAATTCTGGTTGCACAAATCCTACAGGTAATGCCATTATTTGATTTTGTTGATTATTTTGTAATAATAAAATTTGTCTCTGCAAATTTAAAATATTCTGGCGAGAATTAATTTCTCGAGCCTTTTATTTTTGATACCGATTAAATACCCAGGCGCGATTGAATTCTGACAAGTCAGCCTCAGCTTTGCACCTTTGATATATTAGCTGAAGGGCTAGCTTTTCTTCTAGCAATTCACCAATACGGGTTCACTTTTCTGTTATATTGTCTAACATTCTGTTTACTTGATTTTGAGCATTAGTCTGTAACTGATCATGCTCCTGTACTGCCTGATCACGCTCCTGCCTATATATATCACGGTTCCATCATTCATTCACCAGATCTTGTTGCAGGTTAGCATATTTACGTCAGATTGATCTTGTTGATCTTTTAATTTGATTTTTTAAAATAGTTCTACATATTGCTGTATCATCTAGAGATCGGTCTATTGCATCGGCCAATTCAGCTATTGTGGCCATATTTAAATTTTGATCAAAATTATAAATATCTAAAGAATTTTCATCGAGGTCAGATTCATTTTTATTATTCCATGCTTGTGCATTTTGCAAAGCCTCTCTGGTATTTATAAGTTCTAATCTATCTCGGTATCTTAATAATGATAATGCTAAATTTTGACAAAGCAGGTCTGTAATATGATTTTTTTGCTGATTTATTTTATTAATCCTATTTATTTGATTAACCCTTATTGTATTTATTTCTCGTTTAAGGCGTTCGTTTTTGTCTACTAATCTGGTTGTATAATCTTGTGCTTTAGGTGTATTTCCAGCTGATTTTGATATTTCTCGTATTCTGGTTTTTAATTTTGTTTCACGTTCATCGAATTCTGATATTAACTTATCCTTATTTGAGATTTTCTTGTCTTTCTTTTTATTTTCTTCTTCGAGCTGATGAATGATTCTTTTTAGTTTTGAGATTTCTTCTAATAATTTTTTTTTGTCTTGTGCAGATAGTTTGATAGCATTATTTAACTCTTCTTCAAGATATCGTATCCTTTCTTCTCGTATACCAATAACTCTTTCTAAGGTATATAGACGTTGTTCAAAATTCCTATTTGATTCAGCTAATTGCGATACTACCTCATAGAGTTCTTGGTTGGTTTGTTGTAACTCATCCATTGTTTTTTATTAACTATAATGCTGTCCACTCACAAGTTTGTGCCCAGATATATTATTAACTATTTTTTATTATACTATATAATCTCAACAATGAGAAAAACGAATTGGCAAGGAATAGAGAAACCTGTGATTTATATTAACCCACAGAAGGCCCATGATTTGGATAGGGGAATTGCTAAAACTAAAAGAATAGAACAGCCTATAATAAATATTAATCCTCAGAGAGCTCGCGATTTGGATAGGGAGATTGTCTTGCAGAAATTATATTACCAACCTGAAGGTTATTACCAAAATGCTAAAAGATTGCAAGATGCTTGTAGGAAGGCTAGATATAACTTTCCACTTGCTACGATAAAAAAATGGCTTAAGTCTCAGAAAATGTATCAAATTTATCGTCCCTTACCAAAGAATGTGCCTTATGCTAGTTATTCTAGAATCTCAAAACCTAATTGTGTTCATCAGTGCGATTTAATTGAGATACCTTATGATGAAGATGAGTATATAAATTTATTGAATGAAAATAGTGAAATATTTTATTATGTATTATTAGTTATAGATTGTGCAAGTAGATATAAAGATTTTGTTTTTTTAACATCAAAAAGTAGTGACGAAGTTGCAGAAGCATTTAAGAGTATATATGATAATCCCGATAATCCCCTCAACTGGCCTCGAAAACTACAATGTGATAAGGGCACTGAGTTTATGAGATACATGACTTTATTAATATATGAACATGGTGTTGAAATCCGAAGAATTATAGCACGTTTCAGACATACAAGCTTGGCTATAGTCGACCGTTATGCTGGATTATTCAAATTAAGAGTTTTTAAAAATCAGTATGCGATAGAATTTCTCTTACCTACTGGTGAATGCTGTAGAGAGTATAAGCGATTTACACAGAAAATTGTTGATAATATGAATGATTCTCCAACCCGATTAATTGGAATGAGCCCTAATAGTGCTATGAAGCTTGAACAGGTGTATTCCAAGCCATCAACAAAGTATTATCGTCCAGTAGGTGCTGATGAGCCACAGTTACCAAAGGGAACTATAGTTCGATTTTTACTTGCTCCTGGTGAATGGGAAAATGAT